AGTCTCTATACAACTTTAACTCCATTGTCGTCAAGATATTTATTCCACAGTTTTAAATATTTTCAGCTGAGGGATTTTTTTTTTTACTTACGAATCTCTGATATTATGATTTTTTTTCATCACTTACGAATGATTTTTTTTCTTAATGGCCCTAGACTGAGCGTTATGGGTGTCGTTACCGGCTCCTGATAGAGCGTAGTGGGCGTCATCATTGAATTTTGTGGCCCTGGTCGAGGATACTGACTCATTAATGGCTTTTAGTTCTCCTGGTTAAATGGATTGGCTCCATTATTGCCTCACTTGTCCCTGATTTAGCATTTCAGACCATCAATGCCTTTCTTGTTACCCGATTAAGAGTATTGGCGTCATTTGTGATTGACTTGGCCCCCGATCAAGCGTACTTGCGTCATTACTGACCCGTATGAAAGCTTATGGCGTCTCTGTGTTTATTTCGATGTCCCCTGATAGAATACTTTAACGTCGTCAGTGTTCTCAACGGCCCCTGATCAGGAGTTCGACTTTTAAGGCCACTGACTGAGGGTATTGTGTTTATCGTGACTAAAGTTGCCCCTAATTGAGCGTTTGTCTTCAATGTGGCTTTAAGTGCCCCTAATTGAGCCTATTGTGTTCACTGTGGTTATTAGTGCCCGTAAATAAGTGCCATACCATACCGAGCTTGAGAGCCTCAGATATTACTTCTTTCTCGGCCTATTTGAGTGGACGGGATCTCTCTGTCATTCTATGTCTCTTTGAGGAAGCCAGGAATGCCATTAGAGACTTACCTGGTGTCTAATTGCTCGAAAAGGACGTCGGTCAGTCCTCTCTGTGGCCCCCTGATCAAGCGTAGCGAAGTTATTGGTGGCCATCTTGGACCCCGGATGAATGTGGTGCAGTGAGAGAGAGAGAGAGAGAGAGAGAGAGAGAGAGAGAGAGAGAGAGAGAGAGACTACCCTATACTAGTCTATTCTTCACAGTTTCCCCAGTAAATTCCCTCATTCAGCACCGTGCCAGGACCAGCCCTCACCACCCAGCAGGAGACGTGGTAGTTATAGAGGTGTAATTACATGGTCGTGGTTTATGCCTTCACGTTATTCACAGGACGCAAAAAAAATGAATAATAATAAATAAAAAATAACAGATCCACCGACATATGTACCTAAAATTGACAAAAAACAAACCTACACACCTGTTAATAACGAAAAAATTTAAATTGTTTACACACCTGTTGAATATTAATAGAAACAGACCTGCACATCTGCCCGAAATTAATAGAATCTCACTTGCACACCTGCCTGGGATTAATCAAAATACACCTACACACCTGCCTGGGATTAATCAAAATACACCTACACACCTGCCTGGGATTAATCAAAATACACCTACACACCTGCCTGGGATTAATCAAAATACACCTACACACCTGCATGGGATTAATCAAAATACACCTACACACCTGCCTGGGATTAATCAAAATACACCTACACACCTGCCTGGGATTAATCAAAATAGCCTAGGATTAATCAAAATACACCTACACACCTGCCTGGGATTAATCAAAATACACCTACACACCTGCCTGGGATTAATCAAAATACACCTACACACCTGCATGGGATTAATCAAAATACACCTACACACCTGCCTGGGATTAATCAAAATACACCTGCACACCTGCCTGGGATTACTCAAAACACACCTACACACCTGAACACACCTGTCATGCAATAACTCTAACAGGAGGGGAGGATGTAGAGTGTGTGTGTTATCAGATTTTATTTCACCAGCCACCCTCTCACCAGCCGACCGAGAGAGAGAGAGAGAGAGAGAGAGAGAGAGAGAGAGAGAGAGAGAGAGAGAGAGAGAGAGAGAGAGAGAGATATTACAAAGCTGGTATGGTAAATTATACCCCCATAATTATGCTCCACAACAGGTATAATAATTGGACTCGGGAACTCCTTCACACACAACAGGTGAGAAGATAAACACAGGTACTTTTACACAATACCCACACCGACCCACCTACCCACCCACCCGAGTCTTCAAAGGCACACACACACACACACACGAGGCACTTAAGTATACTAGGTCATTGTGTGTTAAGTAGCATTGTAATGATATACTGTGGTAGAGTTCAGACCACAGTGCCAGGTAAGGTGAAGGTAAGAGTGGCTGGGTGACCTGAGTCGACCCTTGTGTGACCTCCCTCCGTGTAGGAGTTGATGAGTGGTAAGACAATTAGTTCACTGGAGTTTACCGATGGAGTATCACTAGCACGGGACAGACGTTGTGCTCTATAAGGACAGACTGGTAAGACTGCCAAGTGAGCCGCCAAACCTACCAGTGTTGATGTGGTTTACTACCCTCACGGTAGTTTGGATGGCGCGGTAGTTTGCTAGGTGTTGGACAATATAACAATACAAAGTTATAGTAACAGCACATACATAGAGTATACATGCATACATAAGGACCTACATAACTGATACAACATATGTAGGCTTTATATAACAGTATAGTGTAGACTTTGTTAACTGAACATTCTTCAATAACCACATAATATCACGTAACATAACTTATCACCACGTAACATAACATATCACTATGTAACACAACATACCATCACGTAACATAACATACCACCACGTAACATAACATACCACCACGTAACATAACATACCACCACGTAACCACCACGTAACATAACATACCACCACGTAACATAACATACCACCACGTCACATAACATACCACCACGTAACATAACATACCACCACGTTACATAACATACCACCACGTAACATAACATACCACCACGTTACATAACATACCACCACGTTACATAACATACCACCACGTAACATAACATACCACCACGTTACATAACATACCACCACGTAACGTAGTATTTTCCAACCAACAAATCAAAACCAAAAATCGGGTTAGTTTTCACATCTGTATAAAACCAATTTTACTTCCCTGAAAGATAAGTCACTGGAAATATCGCCCAAAAGTTAGAAAAATTCACTTATTTGACTTCTGGGTTGGTTTACATACATACATACATACACACACATACATACATACATACATGCATACATACATACATACACACATACATACATACATACACACATACATACATACACACATACATACATACATACATACACACATACATACACACATACATACATACATACATACATACATAAATACATTTATTTGGGGTTCCCATTACCTACAGCTTCTCGGTGGACGACGATAAAAAATAACAAGTGAAAAAATATAAACAGATAGAAACTGTCCTTGAAGAACTGTTGGATTGAGTTTCTAATTTCCTTTACTGCGGTGATCGGCTTTCCGCTCCCCCTCTGCTGTTCTTCCAGCCATCGAGCCAGTCAACCAATCAGCCAATCAACCGGTCAGCCAGCCAGCCAGCGAGTCATCCAGCCAGCCAATTAACCAGCGAACCAGTCTACCTGCCAGCCAATCCACTCGCGGAATTTGGCGTGTTTTTCTGATAGAGTTGTTGAGTAATTGGCCAGTTCAGGTGACAGCTTCACCTCACACAACACACAGGGGCCGACAGGTAAATGCCTCACCTCAATAGCGTTAAATGGTATTGGGTGAGAAAATAATGGTGGAGTTGGTGTGGTGTTGTGTGGGGTTATTGATGGCGTAACTACAGGTAAATAACGCCATATCTTCTTGTTTATAATCCACCAAACACTAATCTCCCAATTATCTGATATCAAGTAATCACAAACGTCAATTAATCGTGGTTTATGGAAGTTATCATTGATGTTTAATAGCCACTAGCAAAGCAGAGAAGACTATTTGTTGTATATATTTCTCAATAGCTTAGGAAATAGAGCTTTAATAGTGACCAGCCATGTGAGGTGTAACAAAACAGGGTATTTCAGTTCAGCCAATCAGTGGGCGCGTTACACACCCCAGACTAACACGCGCTGTCAACACTTACACAACTTTCACTTAAAAAAAAATAATTAAAAACAATCTAAGAGAAATGTATTATCAAATGAGACCTGATGATGACAACGCCAGCCAGGTGATCTGACTTTGACCTCAGGTGTTTACATGTACACAAAGGTCAGGTCATTAACTGGCTATAACATGATAATTCCCTTGCTACCTTATTAAATTAAAGAATAGATTACCTATGTTTATCCTTCAGAGCTTCAGTTTTCGCTAAAATCGATGAAATTCCATAAATAAGTTCATAAGTAGATTATACACATGTTAGGTGTGTTCAGGTATTGTAAGCGTTACCATCACAACTGTTGACTCGTAATTACGATAATATAATTAAACGACATATGAACATAAGATTGGAGGAAACTGCAGCGGGTCTATTGGTCCATACTGGGCAGTCCCATTTACACCCAACTCCTATCGCTCATAGATCCATCCAACCTGTGTTTGAAGCTATCCAGCGTATTCGAGTTAATGATGATGTTTGGTAACTTGTTCCACTCATCCGCTCCTCTATTTCCACACGAATGTTTACCTATCTCTTGCCTAAATCTAAATTTGTCTTATTTAAAACCATTATTACGAGTTCGCTCCTGGTTGGACAGTTTAAGTACCTTTGTTTAGCCCTGACTTCCATCTATACGCCTCGATCATGTCTCCCCTTACTCTACGTCTCTTAAAAAAAATTGTAACTTAAACGAAAAAAAACACAAACGAACATCCACACAGCCTTGATTTTTTTTCCCACAGGAGTAAATTTTTTTTGTCGTCCTGAAAAATGGTCAAGTTAGTTATGTGTTTAATTATACTTTTAAAACGTTTCTCCTTCTACCACACGACACCACACACTATCACTTTACACTTGTCAATTAAGTTCTCCAGGTCGATAAGGAGTGTCCGGGGGTCCACTAGTCGATCATGGTGTGATTGGGTACCTGGCTGGAGTAGGGTTCGTTTTATTACCGTGTGTATTGAGGTTTAATAATCATTGAGTTTATTAGATTGGTTACCTTATTTACGCAGTCCCAAGCCCCCAGGTCCACAAGTCCGCAGGTACACGGGTGACCAGGTAACCAGGTCCACAGGTCAACACTCACCGGGTCAT